AACAGCCCTACCACAGAGGGGTCCTCCGAGAGACCAGGCAAGGTGGACAGCTGTTCAATTTCTTCCATCTCCAAGGCAGCTATGCCAAAAGCCCATCGGTATCCTTTTGGGTCCTTGAAGTATCCTCTCCTGATGCAAGGATGCATGGGGCCTCTGGGCCAGTCAGAATGGGATGCTTTTGCCACTCATTTCCAGTTAGGCTTACTTCAGCTTCCAGTACAGTCAACTCTTGAGATCCCCCTGTCACTCCAGAAATACAAATGGGTTCTGCCCCTCTATAATTTGATGGTATTAAGGTACGCTGTGCACCAGTGTCCACTAGAGCCTTATACTCCTGTGGCTCAGATGTGCCAGGCCATCGAATCCACACAGTCCAATAAACCTGGTTGTCCCTTTCCCCGACCTGGCTGGAGGCAGGGCCCCCCTAATACTGATCATTGTATCTGTTATTCACTTGTTGCAGAAATGATTTAGAAGAGTCATTTCTCTTACTCAAGAGGATCCGAGTTAAGATCAGGCCTTCTACTCTGCCTGGGGAGTCAGCTCTCCCAAAGTCCAGGGTGGTCAACCTGGTGTGCACTTTCCTCACTGCCTTAAGGATCACGAACTTGACCATATCATGGTGACTACAGCCCAGTCTGCCCTTGAGTTTGACACTGTCTATCAGTCCCTCCTTGTTGGTAAGGACAATGTCCAGCATAGCTCCTCTCCTCGTTGTTTCCTCAAACACTTGGAGAAGGAAGTTGTCCTCAATGCAGTTCAAGAACTTCCTGGATTGCCTATGCCTGGCTGAGTTACCCTTCCAACAGATGTCAGGGTGGTTGAAGTCACCCATGAGGACCAGGGTCTGTGAACGTGATGCCCCCCCTATCTGTCTATAGAGGGCTCCATCCACTCGGTCTTCTTGGTCAGGTGGCCTGTAGCGGACCCCCACTGTAATGTCCCCTGCTCTCAATTTCCCTTTAATCCTGGACCCATAGGCTCTCAGTTGGCCCTTTATCCATCTCTAGGCTGAGCTCCATGCACTCCAGCTGGTCGTTAACATAGAGGGCAACACTGCCTCCTGGTTTCCCTTGCCTGTCCCTACTGAAGAGCCTGTAGCCTTCCATGGTAACACTCCAGTCATAGGAGTCATCCCACCAAGTTTCCACGATGCCAATAAGATCGTAGCCTTGGAGGCGTGTGCACATCTCTAACTCCTCCTGTTTGTTCCCCATGCTCTTTGCATTTGCATAGAGGCACATGAGCCATGTCTTCGTTGAGGCTGACTTGGCTGGAGCAGCTGTAATTGCTTTGCGCTGCTCTCTAGGCAGCATTCCTCTTCCAGGTATTAACGGTGCCTCCCCATTGGCTCCTGTTTGTCCAGGAGCTCCTGGCTTATCTATGTAAGACTTTGAGCATGCTGCAGCATAGCCAGCACATTTTGGAGTTAACAACTGCAGGCCCTCACCAGCACCCCGTTCCTCTTTCCTTGGTACAACGTCCCTTGGCTGGTCACGGGCAAACCCGATAATACCCCCTTCCCCTGTCGAATCCAGTTTAAAGCCCTCTTAATGAGCCCTGCTAATTTTGGGGTGAAAACCCTTCTCCCTCTTTGAGTGAGCCAGCCCCCATCTGCTGCCAGCAGGCCTGGTGCCGCATAGGCCATTCCATTGTTGAAAAACCCAAAATTGTGGCGGTGACTGCAGCCACAGAGCCACGCATTAACAGACTGACCTCATCTGTTCCTTTCAATGTCATTGCCCGCAACGGGAAGTAGGGATGAAAAAATAACCTGTGCTCCAGATCCCTGTAGTGACTGTCCCAAGGCCCTGATATCTCTTTTAATCCTGCTCGCACTCTGGTCTTCACATTCATTGCCCCGCACATGGAACAGGAGCAGTGGATAGTAGTCCGTGGGCTGCACCAGGCTAGGGAGTCTCTTTGTGATGTCCCTAACCTGTGCTCCGTAGAGGCAGCAGACTTCCCTCAGAGTGGGGTCTGCCCTACATATCAGGCCCTCAGTCCCCCTCAGAGCTGAGCTGCCCACAATTATAGCCCTCCTTTTCTTCCTGGTAGCAGTGGTCTTAATGTGATGAGTAGGCCTCTCTGGTCCTGGCGGCTCCTTTGATGTATTAGGACTGTCAGCCTTGTTGTCCTTATCCTGTTCTACTGTGCCCAGGGGCTCATACCTGTTGTGTAGTGGTACAAGATCAGGCCTTCTACTCTGCCTGGGGATCTGCCTGCTGGAAACTGGAGTGGCATTTTTCCTGGAGGGATCCCCTTTTGTGATTGTTCTTCCTTGCAACTCATGTAACTCGAGGTAGGTTGTCCATCCCACCTCCTCATGTCCTCTCCATTGTCACGCAGGTAAAACCAGAGGGTGCCTTGTGATGTGTACCTTCTATACTTTTCCTCTTGAATAGGGAAATGTCTGCTCCTAATAGCTGAGATGCTGGCCTGTACAGGTGGGGAGTAGGATATATTTTCTTCAAGTTGCTGGACCTTCTGGGACAGTTTCTCCACAGCTGACACGGGTAGGGAAGAGAGATTTTCTTCATATTGCTGCAGTGGGCCAGCCACCTCATCCACTGTTGGTCCCTCATTGCCTTTCCATTCCATCACTGCCAAGGAGTTGGCATAGGATGATGGTGCACTTCTGTCGTGGTTTAGGCCAAATCAGCTACTGGGGACCTGGGGGACCCCAGATGGGACCAACAGATGCTCCCCTCTACCCCTCTTCAAAGAGAGACCAGACGAGGGAAAAGGAGGCTTATGAGTTTAGAAGGAACTGAACTCCTTTAATGAAATATTAATAATAAAATAAAAGAAAATAATGAAATATATAAAACCATATCAAGCTCCCAGGATGACAATCACAACACCAGCCGGCACTGGGGCAGTCCTAGGCTGGACTCAGTGACAGACAGGAACTGAATTCCGGATCTGCATTCAGGATCGGGATCAAAGGCAGACGAACAGAGTCCTCCTCAGAAATCAGCCATTGAAGAAGGAGAGGGCTGACCCTTTGATCCCTCAGCTTTTATACTGAGCATGAGGCAGATGGGATGGAATACTCTGTTGGTCAGTTTTGGGTCACCTGTCCTGTACACTCCTTCCCGCAGGTGGGACCCCACTAAGATTTTCTGCTTCCAACCCTCCAACAGGGTACATAATAAAGTTGGTTGGCCTTGGGTGTTATAGCAATAAGTATAAGCAAGAGCCTCTCTGCATGCCATGCCTGGGCATCAACTACAAACATTGGTCTTATCACTCTGAAAGTACAAATATTGTCTGCACAATATGCTGTTAATTTCAGTAGTTAGAAGAGGCCTAGCTAAGAAGTAAAGTTACTGAACAAAATTTGTTCTGTTTCGCCTTAAACACATGGTAAGCTTGTATAGCAAGAAAGGAAGTCAATCTGCTCTCTCTGTCTCTGCTGGGATTCCTCTGGGCTAAGTATTAGTCACTACAGGATTCAGAGCATATGAATGAACAGATTAGGGAAACAAGAGACACCATCTCTGGCAACATCTGAATCAACTGTCCTTGACTTATCAGAAGCCTTCACCCAGACAGAATTCCGAAGGGAGAAGCACCCAGGTCTCTGGCTATAAGCAATGTCAGGTGTCTCTCCCTGGGGCTGGAAATGATGATAGCTTCACATGGAAGATGTGTGTTTCAGCTGATGTGTTGAGTAACCAGATGAAGGAGCTGTGGAAAGAGGTGAACAGACTGTGCTGTCAGGCAGGAGGAACCGAAGAGCAACAGGGACTTTCTCGGACCCTGAAGAACCAAGAACCTGAGCCTATCATATAGTGAAGGAGGGACAGCTAGACACAAGTATGAGCCGTAATGGAGACTACCACAATGAAAGAGGCTAGAAGCTTGTGACTTTAGGCAATAGAATTAAAGGTCCTTTACCTGCAGAGCTGCAGGTACAAACCAGGTGTAATACGCTAGACTTATGTGTTTAAAGGCTACTCACCATAAACACAAAGGACAGTTAAAGATCAGGGGAACAATGATAGACAGAGGAACCCTAGTAAATTAATCAATCAACACAGAGCACACTGAATTGACTAGTCCTAGATTTATCCAAGGGGTGTGATTAGCCTGTTGCCCCTGATGTGAAATCCATCAAGCTGAGTCAACCACAGAAACTTCCCACAATCTCCATGCAGACTGAATCGGGTAGAGGACTCTGGGATCAGGACGAAGAGCATTTTGGCATTGTGGAAAACTCATTATGGGATGTTTTAAGAGGATTTTGTGATATTTAAGAGAAGGACCAAAGCCAGGGAAAG